CGGACCGGGGCCAGCACCGGGACCGCAACCCCCGGGGTTGCCCCCGCGCCTCGCTCAGCCAGTGAGCGGGAACCGGTCTGTATGTGGGATCCAAACCCTCGGGCGGGAGCGCCGCCGCGCTTCCCAAGCGGCGCAGTATCCAGTGCGCCACCGGGCCGGCCCCTTTTCCTATTTTTTAATTGGAGCATTTGATTTTTGTTTTTGTGGTTGTTGAGTTGTGAGAGTTCTGTTTATATTCAGGATGTTAACCCCTCATCAGGTGTATTGTTTGCAAGTATTTTGTCCCATTCCATAGGTTGTCACTTCACTCTGTTGATTGTTCCTTTTGCTTTGCAGAAACTTTTTAGTTTAATGTAATCCCATTTGTCTATTTTCTTTTTTTTTTTAAAGATGACCGGTAAGGGGATCTCAACCCTTGACTTGGTGTTGTCAGCACCACGCTCAGCCAGTGAGCAAACCGGCCATCCCTAATGTGGGATCCAAACCCGTGGCCTTGGTGTTATCAGCACCGCACTCTCCCGAGTGAGCCACGGGCCGGCCCCCATTTGTCTATTTTCACTTTTGTTGCCTGGACTTTTGAGGTCATATCCAAAAAGTCATAAACTAGATCAATGTCATGGAGCTTTTCTCCTGTGTTTTCTTCTAGTAGTTTTACAGTTTGGGGTCTTACATTTAAGTATTTAGTTCATTTTGAATTGATTTTGTATTTGGTGTGAGATAAGGATCTAATGAAAATTCTATAGCATGTAGATATCCAGTTTTCCCAACACTGTTTATTGAAGTGATGGTCCTTTTTCTATTGTGTTTTTGACTCTTGTGTCAAAAATCAGTTCACTGTAAATGTGTGGATTTATTTCTGGGCCCTCTATTTTGTTCCATTGGTCTCTGTGTCTGTTTTTAGTGTCAGTACCATGCTCTTTTGTTTACTATGGTTTTGAGAAGTATATTTTAAAGTCAGGTAGTGTGATGCCTCCAGCTTTGTTCTTTTGCTCAAGATTGCTTTGGCTATTCAGGGTCTTTTGTTGGTTCCATAAGAATTTTAGGATTGTTTTTCCATTTCTGTGAAGAATGTCAGTGGAATTCTTACTAAAGATATAAGTGATTTCCACACCACCATTACAGTATTAGAGTATTCTGAATTTGACTGTGTACTCGCTTTTACCAGCAAGTTTTATACTCTCATGTGTTTCCATTTTACTGATTAGCCTCCTATTCTTTCTCCTTGAAGAACTTTTAGCATTCCTTGCAAGACGGGTGTGGTGTTGATGAACTCCCTCAGCTTTTGTTTGTCTGAAAAGGTCTTTATCTCTCCTTTATTTCTGAACGACAGCTTTGCTGAGTACAGTATTCTTGGTTGGCAGGGGTTTTTTCCCCTCCAGCACTTTGAATGTATCCTCCCACAACCTCCTAGTCTACAAGGTATCAGTTGAGAAATCTGCTGTTAACCGTATCGAAACTACCATTTTTATGTTATTTGCTGCTTTTCTCATGTTGCTCTCAGGATCCTCTGTGTCTTTGATTTTTTGACAGGTTGATCATGTAGTAGTTTCTTTTATCCATGGGGTATACTTTCCAAACCCCAGTGGATGCCTGAAATCAGATACTACGTTTTCTCCTATATATACACATACCTATGATGAAGTTTAATTTATAAATTAGGCACAGTACTCTTGTGCTTTGGGGCCATTATGAAGTAAAATAAAGGTTACTTGAACACAAGCACTATGACATTGTGACAGCTGATCTGATAACTGAGATGGCCACTAAGTGACTAATGGGCAGGTAATTTATACAGTGGGAATATGCTGGACTTAGGGATGATTAATGTCTCAGTCAAAAAGAGCAGGACACATGAGATTTCATCACACTACTTAGAATGGCATGCAATTTAAAACTTATGAATTATTTCTGGAGTTTTTTATTTAACATTTTGAGACTGCAGTTGACTATGAGTAACTGAAACTGTAGAGGGTGAAACCATGGATAAAGAGGGACTACTGTAACATGTCTTGGTGTAGTCTTGTTTGGATTGAATCTGATTGGAGACCTTTGACTTTCCTGTACCTGAATATTTATATATTTCCCCAGATTTGGAAAGTTTTCTGCTATTATTTCTTTAAATAAGCTTTTGACTCCTTTGTCTCTCTTTCCTTCTTCTTTAATGTTTATAACATGAATATTTGCTCTTTTGATGCTGTTCCATAAATCCTGTAAGCTTTCTTCATCCCTTCTTATTTTTTTTCTTTTTTTGCCTATGTATATTTTCAAATAACCTTTCTTAGAGTTTACAGATTCTTCTGCTTGATCAGTCCTGCTGTTGACACTCTATTGCATTTTTCATTTCATTGACTGTATTTTTTAGCTCCAGAATTTGTTTTTCATATATATATATAATTTCAATCTCTCTTAATTTCTCATTTCGGTTGTTTTTTGTCTTCCTGATTTCATTGAATTGTTTTTCTGTATTTTCTTGAGTTTGCTGAGCTTCCTCAAAACAATTTTAAATTCTTTATCAGGCAGATTATAAATCTCCATTTCTTTAATGCCAGTTACTGGTACTTTATTTTATTCCTTTGGTGGGGTCATGTTTCCCTGGTTGCTTTTGATCCCTGTGGCCATGCATTTGTGTCTATGCATAGGAAGAAGTAGGGACTTATTTCAGTATTTGCTGTCTGGCTTTGTCTGGAAAAGCCCTTTAACAGCCAGCCTGCTAAGAGATTTTGGGGAGATCATCTGGAGTGGTCCATGGGTGGGCTTGCTGCTGGTGTCCCTGGGAAAGCTGCCTGGTGCCTAGGTCAGTAGGTGGGTGGGCCTACTTGGTGGCTGGGTCTGCAGGGTTGGGCCTGGATCCTGGATCCACTGGACTGGCTCTGTTGATTGGAACAAGGGGGTGGACCTGGAGCCTGGGTCACGGAAGGTGAACTGGTACTGAGGTGGCCATTGTGCCTGAGTCTGCAGAGTCTGACCAGGGACTGGGATGGGCCTGGCGCCTGCATCCACTGGGACAGTCCTCAACCTTGAGTTCATGGTACTAGAGTAGGCTTGGGTCCTGGACCCACGAGTGCTACCCTGGAACCATGGGTTTGCAGGAGTGGTTCTGGATGCTTGGTCTGCTGGAGCAGAGCTGGACTGGATTATGGAGCTGGGGCTGCTGGATTATGGAGCTGCAGCAGCCTGTGGCTATGGATGTCAGCCTGGTGCCTAAGGCCAGGGGTTCCAAGCTGGCATGGGATGGGCTTGAAGGGATGGGCCAACCTGGCTCTGGGGTGGTATGGAACCTGTATCTACAAGGATCAGCCTGATGACTGCCATTGCGGTGGCCAGCCTAGTGCTGGGACAGGCATGTGGCCTGGTGCTGGGACAGGCATGTGGCCTGGTGCTGGGGTGGGCATGGAAACCAAATCCTCCAGGCAGGCCTGGAGCTTGGGGCTGCAGGGGTCTGCCTGGTGCTGTTTTAGTGGGGTGGACCCAGTGCTGGGGTCCAAGGCAAAGTCCTGTGCTCACCTCCCTCTCCTTCCCCAACACAGTGTATCTTTCTCCACACTTTGCTGCCTGAGGTTGGAGAAGGGGTAACATGGGTACTATAAAACTGTCCCTCCTGCCCTCTTCAATTCATCTTTTCTTATTTCTGTGCTACATCCAGGTGCTGTATTCTCATACCTGATTTCCTTAGCTTTTTTGATGGTGTTTTTGTGCATGGATAGTTATTCAAATTGATGTTTCTGTAAGGGGATGAGTGCTGGAAAGTCCTATTTCATCACTTTGCTCAGGTTTCATCATTTCTTGATACATGTGACTATGGAGACCAAGAGTCACATGTGCCATCTGCAAGCTGGAGACCCAGGAACACTGGAGATGTAATTCAACCTAAGTCCAAAGGCCTAAGAACCTAAGAAGGGACATGGGGAATCCTGGTGTAAGACCCATAGTCTGAAGTTCTAAAAACCAGGAGCTCTGATGTCTGAGGATAAGAGAAAATGGATCCTTGTAATAAACTTTTTATCTCAACTTTAGCAGGGGATGTGGCCTGGTCATCACAACACCTGGGATCTAATCTTGTCTCTACCTCATGCCAGATTAGGGATTAAGACAGGTTATATATCATCCCTGCCTTTGAGGTCCTGGAGATCCAATTTGCGTTCATAAATAAAAATTGCAAACAGAATCCAGAATCCTATTGTCCAAAAAAGAAAAAGGCTGTAACCCTCAAATTAGAGTCAGTCCTAAGCATAAAACCACTAAGAAATGCTGAGAAAACAGACCTCTACCACCTTAGGTCTCCATTACTGAGCATCTGGAGAGCTGTCTAGCTCCTCACATTCAATAGTTGCTGTTATCTGAATGTTTGTGTCCACCGAAAAGTCATATGTTGAAATCTTAACTCCCAAGGTGGTGGTAGTAGGAGGTGGGGCCTTTGGAAGATGATTAGGTCATGGGGGAGGAGCCCTCATGAATAGGATTAGTGTCTTCTTTTAAAAGAGGCCCAAGAGAGACTCCTTACCTCTTCCACCATGGGAGGACACAGCAAGAAGGCACCATACTATACGAACCAGAAAGTTCATATAGTATGAACCCTCACCAGACACCAAATCTGCCAGCACCTTTATCCTGGACTTCTGGCCTTCAGAACTATGGCAACTAAGTTTCTGTTGTTTATAAGCCACCCAGTTATGGCATTTTGTTAAAGCAGCCTGATCAGACTAAGACAGTAGTTGTGAGAAACAGATTTTGGGGACTATAATGTCTGGAATTGGGTTCCTTCACTTCTGGACTCTCCTCCTGTACCTCCAAATACACCCACCCTCTATCCTTTTTGTTAACGAAGTATATGGGCCAGTGTCCCATCTTTGCCCACAACAAGGCTGAACAAACAAACCTCTTTTAACTGGTTTCTCAAGGCACTGGTCCTTTTAGTCTCCAAATCAAAACTATGCTGCTCTTGCTGGTCCCAGTCCCGCCTTCCTCTACATGGGATTCCCATCTCCTTTGTTCTTCTAGTTTTCCAAGTCCATTACTGCCTGATCCTTCCTAGGGAAAAAGAGGCATCCCCTTGGTGTCCAGTGAGTTAACTGGCAAACATTTAATGCAGCACATAAATACATGCGTCTTTGGCTGTGGGATGGCCTTCATGTGTGTGTACACACCACGTTTTCATAGTGCATGGACAATAGTCTAGAGGGAAGATATATTAGTCATGACTCTTAGTTACGGCAGCAGAATCCCAACTCAAACTGGCTTAAATAAACAAACTGGCTCACAGAACTTGAACGTGGTGGCCATGGCCACAGGCTTGATTGGATCTTGTGACTCAAACCCAGGCCTTCTCCCCATCTTTTCTCCTCTCATCTTACCTTCCACTGACCTCTGCAATGGAGTGGCCAATGGCCTCATTCTGGGCCCCTCCATGTGCCAGGGGATATGCCCACCAGCATCTCCGTGGTGATAGTTAATAATTTGTGATCTTAGAGATTTGTCACCCAGTATTCCATAGGGTAAAAACACTGGGAGTTCCTAGTCACCTAAATGAAGAACCTTATTTTGGGCACAGTTTCCCTTTCACAGTGTGGAGTATCCTGCAGGGTTATGGTGAAGCAATGTAGAGCTACTTCTGAAAAATAGTAACCAAGGTTCTACTGGCTGCCTTCTTAGAAAATTGTTAAATGTCTTGACCACAAGCAGAATTAACACCCAAGTATAGTTTTTGTTTACCCAGACAGACTAATTATCATGAACAAAGAGTATATAATTACAGCTGTTATAACACTTTTAAAAGTTTTCATCCCAAGAGTTGAAGTTTACATATTAAATACAGATTTGTTGAATGAAATTAGTAGTTTTATTCTGCAGGATAATAAAACAGTTACTGGCACAATTCTGAAGTAAATATTCAAATTTGTTTCTGATTGTCTAGTCAGTATCCAGGGAAGATACATGCTCTGGTGCTTCTACAGGATTTTAACTGTCCCATGAATAAAAGGATTCCAGGCTCAATAAACTGGGGAAGCTAACAGTTACTGGCACAATTCTGAAGTAAATATTCAAATTTGTTTCTGATTGTCTAGTCAGTACCCAGGGAAGATACATGCTATGGTGCTTCTACAGGATTTTAACTGTCCCATGAATAAAAGGATTCCAGGCTCAATAAACTGGGGAAGCTGGGTTAAATGAGTCTTATTACTACAGAATTACACACAGTCAACCACAGTCCAAAAATATTAAGTGGAAAATTCCAGAAATGTTTTAAATTGCATGCCATTCTGAGTATTGTTATAATTGCTCTATTTTATTGTTAGTTGTCATTAATCTCTTACGTGCCTAATTTATAAATTGAATTTTATCATAGATATGTATATATAAGAAAAAACATAGTATATACAGGGTTTGGTACTACCCGCAGTTTCAGGCATCCAGTGACTGGGGCCTTGGAACATTTACCCCAACGACAAGAGGGAATATTGTAGTTGTGTAATAGGTTGTATCTGAACCACCTGAGCAACTTCAAAAAATACACATGGCTGCCAGGATGCTCTAATGGGGGCATGTGCCCATGAGAAAGACTCCCCCCGTTGATTCTGAAATGCAGCATTTGATCTAGAAATCCAGTGACCAGCATTTGGGTGTCAGTAAGAAAGTGCACTTCCTAAAATCCTACCTACTTCTATCTTTCATTTAATACATATTAACCAAGTACCTACTGTGTTCCAGAATCTATGCCTGGCAATGGCTCTAATACATGTAAAAGTCAAACAAGGAAATTCTAAGTTTGTCTTGTTTCAGCTTTAGTCGGCCTTCTTCTGTTGGCTGAAGAGAGGATGTTCACCTTCATTCAAATTTAACCATTTAGATAAAAAGTTCTTCAAAGAACTTTTCTCTTCTGAAATAGATTTCCAGTAGATGTTTTATACATCCTATTGGAGCTCTAAACAATAGCATCAAAAACAGGCAATCACATATAAAAAGAGATACTCTAATAAAATATAAATAGAGAATGAAAAAAGATCACCTCTCAGCAAATTGGTTTAAATAATCCATTTTTTATTGTGTCTTACTAAAAATACTACTAATAGTAACTATTACCAAGCAACTACTGTGTATCATGTACTTTTCATATGCTCTTTTGATTAAAAACCCTCCACTGGCCCCTCAGAGTCTGGTATTATCTCTGTTTTACAAAGAAAAGCCAAAGAGAAGTTATGTAATTGGCAAGTTTCTCTGGCTCCCTGACAGCACTACTGTTCATCAGATCACATGGAAAGTGAGGGGGGTGTAGTGTGTCACCCCATTGATCTCCAGGGTGGATTTGGGTAGTATAAGTGGCTGGCTGTGCCTTAGGTGGTCTTCAAATAGTCTTCAGGTATAAATAGGGGGTGTTACTACATTATTGAAAAGGGTTACTACATTATTTCAAGTAATATGTTGAACATATTACTAACATTTTATGATCTTTGCAGTTTTGTTTAGGCCATTAACAGTCCTGGTGAAATACAAACAACTAATGTGAATTCATTTTAGGAAGATGCATAAATTACTATAGAGCTTACAAATTACTATAGCGCCTACCCTGAACTGAATACAAAATACATTAGCCTGGATGGAAATAACAAAACTCAGGCACTTGTCTATGTCTTGAAAACCCCAAAGTAAGCTCTCTGAAGCATCAGCAAACCTTGGTAAGTGGCACAGGAATGCCATTTGGATATATATTCTAATTGTTAAGTAGAAAGGACAGCCAAATTACATGGCCTCATCAGAATCATCCAGGGCACCTGAGAACAGACAGCTGAATATCAGCCATTACTGGGAAACAACTTGAGATGACCATTCAAGGGAGCAATGGCACAGGTTAAGAAAACATAACTAAAAGAGCAAAGATAACTTCTCAGGAAGTATTGTACCATTTTTATGCCTCCACTATTAAAAGCTGCCCACTCTAGAGTTTTAAGATTACCATATCACACATTGCTACATAGAGAACATGAGTATATACACATAAGTGTATATATGAATATACGCATTCATGTGATACACGTGTGTATATGTGTATTGAACCCTTGGAATTATCAACACTTAAGGGATCAGCAAAGAGGAGCCAATAAGAAAGAGAATGAGAAGACATAGAGGCCAAGGGAGAATTTCAAGAAAGGAGTACTCAACAGGGCTGAAAGCAAAGAGATCAAATAAAGAGAAGGACCAGTAAGTGCCCGATGGATGTGGCAACCAGTCACTGGTAACCTTGAAAAGAACAATTTCAGTAGATTGTTAAGGACAAAAGCCACTAGGTTAAAGAAAGGAAGCAAGGTATGAAAAAGCTTTCAAGATTCCATTTACTGTTTCACTCACCCCTCCCAGTGTGTACACTACTGTGGCTGCTGTGTGTTCGCTGGCAGGTGGTTTTGAAGAGAAGGATAAAAAGAGTAGGCTTTTTATTTTTTCCCAAGTATGAGTAGTCTTCAAAAGTTAATGGGAATAGTCGTATTATCTTTTAATTCTATTAGTCCCACCAACTTTTTGAACTGCCCTCATACTGTGATCTCTTGGCCCATAAAGTATTCAGTGCTGTGATCGACTCACTCATGCTTTGCACATCTGACATAGTACAAACTGTTGAAAACAATAAACAGAGGTGAAGTTAAGTAATAAATATTCAATGCAGGACAAGCCTTAGATAAAACATCTTCCGAATGGTACAAGTGACCCATTACTGTACCTACTGGTTTAATTTTTTCTTTACTCAAAGTCACCTGTACCCTGTAGCTGAAGATTGAGGCCCTGAAGTCATCTGGACATTTCTGCAGGATCAAACGGTATCTTCTCAAAATGAAAGTCTTTCCACTTTGAGTACAGTGTCTGAATCCCAGTTGCAATATCCTCTACCACAAAACTTTCAATTTTTATAACTGGAATCTCAAAAGCCTTGTACTTCACATGGATTCCCCAGTCATGGTTGCAGTCCTGTCCGGCACAGTATATCTTTGCTCTCTTCTCAAAATTCCCAAATTTCTTTGCCTTGGGGTGTTTTTTACTCACAAAGCACTCCTTAAAAGCATCTCCAATCACAGTGTAATGGCATTCCTACAGATGAGGGGATCAAATATCACACAAAACATTAGAACCAGTACATAATTGTGATCAGAAAAAGAAAACTCCACAATAATCTGAGATGAAGAGCAGGTAGAATCTTACTTATTTAAAGTTGGGTAAAAAAAGGAAAGATGGATTCATCTAAAGGATAGACTAGGATCTGTGTACCTGACCCCCTCATACAGGTGGGGTGGAAGTGCTAGTGAGACTATACCAGACACCTCATAGAGAGGAGGATTAAAAAGTTACCAGATAATCTAGTTTCTGAAGGTACTCTTTATTAATTCAGAAACAAAAGGGATATTTGTTGAAGATCTATGAAACCCAAGTTCACCAGCGACCCTGACAGGCATAATCCAAAGGATACAGGGAAGAATAACAGAGATCACTGTGCATCTGAAGAGGGTCAGGGATTAATGTATCCAATGGCCCCACCCACAGTCAACTGTAAACTGCACAGGAACAAATGCAGATCCAGCATCCCAGTCCCTCAGGAAAACAGTCTGAGGATCATTTTCCATAGAATAATCACCCAAATTGGAGCTTAAAGGACCTTCTACAGCAGGAAAAGCAGACTCAGAAAGGTAAGAGAACTGAACAGTATCACTCCTAGTATGCTTCCTGACCAAACAGTTGTACTGATTAGAGATTTCAGCTTTCTGTAGACCAAACAGAACCTTAAAGCAGTAACTCATTTTCTCAGTCAGCCCAGCCAATCCGCCCTGCCCTTCATTGGTGGCAAGAGAGTTACACCCAACTCTTTGAAGATCTTTCTAACAACTTTGGAAAACAAAATAGGAAGAGAGAAGAAAAATCATGGAATCTCACCACTAAAATATTAATACACTTTGGTATATTTCCTCTAGTCTTCTTTTCTGTACAAAGGTAGGTTTCTTGGGTTTTTTCTTAACAGCAGTGATGGTGGTGTTGCTGCTACTGTATCACACAGCGATAGTAGCATATTTCTAATTTCGTATTGTGGTTATTTTTTCCACTTTACCATTAGTTTGTAAGTCTTTCATTCTATTACATAAATTTCATAATCATTTTTAAAATAAACTTTACTTTGGAATAATTTCAGATTTACAGAAAAGTTACCAAGACACCCCAGAAAATTCCTGTATACCCTTCACCCAGTTTCCCTGAATGCTAACATCTTACATACCATAGTACGTTTGTCAAAACTAAGAAATTAACATCAGTCTATAACTACACGTATTAACCGAACTACAGATTTTACCACTCTTTCTACTAATATCCTTTACCTGTTCTAGGATCTAATCCAGGATACCACATTGCATTTAGCATAACCATTGTTTTGAATGGCTGTACGAGGGTACTTCAAAAAGCTCATGGAAAAATAGAATTAAAAGATAATACAAATCTTTCCATGAACTTTTTGAAGACCCCTCGTATAATATTTAAGTAGGAGGCCATGCAGCAATTTTTGAGGACTATTTCTTTATTATTGAACATTTAGGGTTTCTTTTTTGCTTTTTAGCTTTTTAAAATACACGGACCATGGCCATGATAGCAACAGAAACAACAGTATTCTTACTATAAATATTACACAAGTAGATGGTAAGCTTTAACTCATAATAAAAAATGACCAAGAGCTCTTTGTAAAAAGGCTCCTTACCTCCACCACTCTTATATCTGCTGTATAACATGCCAAGGCTTTGCACTTTCTGCAGAGCAGTTTTTTGTTTTCCTTATCAAGTACAGGTTTTGCTTTTTCTTGACTATCTCTGATGAATTTTTCATTCATCTGTATTTGGAGAATCTACATGCAAAAAGAAAAACCTCATAAATGTAATTTGAATATAACTAGCATAGACATATGATGGGTTACATGTATACATAGATGTACACATACATAAATATGCACACACACAAAAATATATAAATATGCACATACACATATGTAATCATTCATTTACAACTTCCATGAACATGTACTACCTGGCTTTGTTTATAAAAATTACATAATTTTATTGATTCTAACTCTTTATTAGGCAATGTTTAACTGACCTCCAATTAAGTCTTTCAATTTCATCATCAAAGAATCCCATAAAAGCACTAAAGATATCCATAAAATAGTCACATGAATCATGCTTTCTACTTTAGTGATTGACAAAACTTTAAAAACCCTCTACAAACAGATATATAATATGAACTATTTCACATGCAATTACACCCACTTTAG